GCTCCGGGGGGGGCATGGACAATCACACCCCCTCCTCACCGTGGGCTCTGGCAGTCCTCTCCCGGAGGAGGTAGAAGCCACATACACAGAGGAAGCCCAAGTGAAGGGAAGAGGGGAAATTAAAAAAAATACACTGGGAAAGAGAGAATAGAACAAAACACTGCCATGGCAGCTGCCACTGACACAATGTTATTTTGATCTGCACAGCCAACCAGATCTTCAGCGGCAAATCAGAAACCATGCTGGGCAAGAGCTCCAACTGACCCCACCCACTTTCTAAAACACATTTGTTGGATGCCAAGAAAGGCGCCATGTTGGGGGAACCCTGCGCTACTCGATGCATAACACTTGCTGTGAGCATTTAAAGAACCCTGGGGAATGAAGAGGGAAGGGCCATGGCCTGATCTGGCTCCTGAGCGTGGAGGATGAGAGCCAGCGGGGTGGGTTGTTGTGGCCAGGGCTATTTTGGGGCAGGAACGGACAGGAACGGAGTTCTGGCTGGCTCCCAAGTTGGCCACGCCCAGCAGGAACTCATTAGCATAGTAGGCCACACCCAACAGCAGAAACTCATTAGGATTGGCTACAATTAGGGGTGTGCGGCCTAACATGCAAAAAGCCCTGGGTTTTGACAACAAGGTAAAGAGAATAAGAAGCAAAAGGTAGGTGTGGCTGGATGACCACACTTCTGGTAACATGGGGGTGTAGCCTAATGTGCGAATGAGCTGTGCTGTCAGGGTGTGGCCTAATATGCTAATGAGTTCCTGCTGTTGGGTATGGCCTATTATGCTAATGAGTTCCTGCTGGGCTTTTTCTACAAAAAAAAGCCCTGGTTGTGGCTATCAAGTGAGGCAGCCTCCAGTATACCCCCTCTTTGCCACTGAAATAAAAAAAAAATTCTTTTCAGACTCCTCGCACCTTGAGCAGTTTCATGACAGGCAGAAATTAACGAGATTAAACTATCCCCATTTCCAATACTGAGGAAAGCGGCACCTCTTGAATTTCTCCTTATTCTATGACTGTTGAAGGCACAGTGCGTACGAGCCCCTCTTCTTGCCAATAAATCCACCAATGCTTATGTTCTGACAGGAATGGCTGACACGCTATGGCTACCTTCCCCAGCCAGACCCCATGGCCGCCCGTCTTCAAACACAAGAAGAACTGGCAGACGCGGTCAGGACAATGCAAAGATTCGCAGGACTGCCTATGACTGGAAAGCTGGGTATGCTCAACAGAAAGGATATCTAGATATTCATGTTCTCTGAGGGAAGCGACGGTTAAATAGAGGTATTTGCATTTGGTGACACATACTAGTTCCAGCTCCTGCCAACCTAGCAGTTCGAAAGCAAGAAATTGCAAGTAGATAAATATGTACCACTTTGGTGGGAAGGTAACAGCGTTCCGTGTGCCTTGGTTTTTAGTCATGCCGGCCACATGACCACGGAAACGTCTTCGGACAGCGCTGGCTCTTCGGCTTTGAAACGGAGATGAGCACCGCAACCCTAGAGTCGGATTCGACTGGCTTTTGAGCAAGGGAACCTTTACCTTTTTACACTAAAATAGCAGTTTTTTCTGGAAAGTCTCCTGTGTCAGACCTCAACCTAGGATATTTGTGAAGCCTTAATAATGAAGAAAGTGGCTCCTCTTTTAAGTGTTTCAAATTGCTGGCTCTAAGACCTGAGCTGTGTCAGCCCTGATTGGAACTACTTGGGTGGGAGATCACCAAGGAAGTCCAGGGTTGCTATGCAGAGGCAGGCAATGGGGAAGCCCCCTCTGTTCTTCTCTTGCCTTGAAAACCCTGTGGAGGTCACCCTAAATCAGCTGTGACTTTATGGCACTTTGCACCACCAAGAACTGAGTTAAGTGCTTGGCCTTTATCTCTTGGTGCTCTTTTAAGTTTCTCTTCCCTTGGATTGGCCATCAGATAGGTTCGGTGCAGGTGGGAACCCTGAGGCCAGTCCGTCCTCCTGACCCGCATCCACATAAGCCCCGTCTCCTACGGCGACCGGGGCTCTTTTTGTAGAAAAAGCCCAGCAGGAACTCATTAGCATAATAGGCCACACCCAACAGCAGAAACCCATTAGCATATTAAGCCACACCCTGGAGATCACCAAGGAAGTCCAGGGTTGCTATGCAGAGGCAGGCAATGGGGAAACCCCCTCTGTTCTTCTCTTGCCTTGAAAACCCTGTGAAGGTCACCATAAATCAGCTGTGACTTTATGGCACTTTGCACCACCAAGAACTGAGTTAAGTGCTTGGCCTTTATCTCTTGGTGCTCTTTTAAGTTTCTCTTCCCTTGGATCGGCCATCAGGTAGGTTCGGTGCAGGTGGGAACCCTGAGGCCAGTCCCTCCTGACCCGCATCCGCATAGGCCCCGTCTCCTATGGAGACATTGTCAGAAGTGGTCATGACACCACCCATAAAAATTATAATCTGTGAAATGGGCTTAAGTGAGCAACACCAGACTACACGAGGGACGAGGAGTCAAGAAAGTTGCTGGGCCAAGCCACCTCACGTCCTGGCAAGGCTGTAACCCCTCAACTTGCTTTACTGTCAACCAAACAGATTTTCAAAAGTCCCTACGCCTTCACGAAAAACAGTGGTTCATCTGCCCAGGTCAGGGAAGAGGACAAAGTAGGGAACTGTTTGGAAGTTCAGCTACCCAGGACATTCCTTGAGTGTTATCTCCTTTGCAGATTCAAAGACATTGGAGATGATGAACCAGCCCCGTTGCTCCCTTCCGGACATTATTGGGACTTCTGAGTTGATGCGTCGCCGACGCAGGAGGAGACGTTATGCTCTCAGTGACACTGTCTGGAAAAAGAAGGACTTAACATGGCAGTAAGTCAGCCCCATCTGCCCCCTTCATCCAGCGAGTAAAGCTCAGGGGGATAAAGCCATGAGCCGTCTCGTTTCTCTGTATGTCTCCCAATCTCTCAGTTTTCCCAACATCAGCTTTTCTCTTCTTACATTTAATTTCCCGTCATTGTGTCCTCCTGTGGTTTATATATTCACCCCATTCCACTGAGTTCTCTCAGCCTTTCGTTACTTTCTACTCGAATGCCTGTTTTTCCTTACTGTAACTGACTGCTCCCATTCTGTCACATTTCTGATCGTATTGGTCCCGTTGGTTTTCCTCACCGTGTCAAAATGTTCTTTACCAATATTGTCACCAGGGGTCGTTTCGTAGAAAAAGAGCTAGGGGAACTCATTAGCATAACTCATTAGCATATGCCACACCCCGACATCACCGGAAGTGTGTCATAAGGCCACACACCCCACCCCCAACGGTCCCGGCCACCACCGCCGGCCTTGCAGCTCCACTGCCGAGCCCCATGAGGGGCCCGGCGGTGGACCTGCAAGGCCGGCGAGAGTGCAAGGAAGCCCCACAAAGGCCCTCCCTGGCCTCAGGCAGGCAGGGGTGAGGAGAGGCAGGGAGGAAGCAACTTACCCTCCCTCTTCTGCCTCCTCCTGGCTGAATGAGGGCCAGAAGCGGGGCGGCCGGAAGCAGGGGGCGGGGCTTCGTCATGTGCCCCCCCGTACCTCACCTGGGGGAACTGCGCTTCCCCACGTTCCCCCCCGAAATGACCTCTGATTGTCACCAATACCCTTCATTTCCGTTGTTCCTTCATTTTGTTTTCCCACTGCAGCATTCGTTCTTTCCCCCTCTCCTCCACTTTGCCACATGATCACATCCGGAACCTTCTCTTCTACGCCTTCCGGGCCTGGAGCAACACCTCCGCCTTGACCTTCCGGGAGGTGCATTCTGAAGATGCTGACATCCTGGTGGACTTCAGCCGCTCCTACCATGACGATGCGTACCCCTTTGATGGGCCCGGAGGCACCCTGGCCCACGCCTTTTTCCCCGGTGAACACCCTATTTCTGGTGACACTCATTTTGATGATGAAGAGACGTGGATCTATGACCCAGAGAACATGGCACCAGGTTTGCTCATAACTGTAGACCTTCTCTGAGGGAACACGGCGGGCTGAGGGAAGACAGCTGTCATAGATAAAATTCTCTCTCTCTTCCTCTCTCCTGCTGCTAGGTAGGGGTACAGACCTCTTTGCTGTAGCGGTGCATGAGTTTGGCCACGCCCTGGGGCTGGCTCACTCTTCGGCCCAGGAGTCCATCATGATCCCTTATTACCAGGGCCCCGTTGGACTGCCCCACCAGTATCGGCTCCCGCTTGACGATGCCATGGGGGTGGAGCAAATCTATGGTGAGTGGTTCATATACTCTCAGGGAAGTTGACCCTTTGGTGTAGCTGTCAATGTCACCTTCCTTCTTTCTCTCTGGCCCATTCTGCATCGAGCATTCGCTCTGTTGTGTTACCAAAACCACACTGGAACAGAAGAAGATGCGGCTCAAAACCACATCCGAATACCCCTGGCCCACGCTGTACTGACTGCAGAGCCACCCCCGAACTGCAATAAAATGGCCATAAATCTATGCATAGGAGCAAAGCACAAAAAACCACAGGCTGAAGATATATATATATATATACACACTATTGAATGACAAGTTCAGTAATTCAGAAATATAACTATATAAGGCCAAGGTGTTCTTGCAAGAATCAAGTCCCAAAAATTTCAGTGTCCCTCCAGTTGTATTGTGATATTATATTCTTCTTTCTGCAAGAACACCTTGGCCTTATCTCTCCTTATATATAATTGAGTATGAACATTCTATATGAACATTCTAAATTTCACCTCCTTAGTGTTAGGCCGGAAAAACTGCCACTCAGTAACACTGGCTGGGTTGACTGGCTGCTTTGTGCAGTCCCGCCCAGCATTCCAAGGTTATTTGCATATGGAAGCTGATTGGACAACACTCCATTCCACACCTCAAACTCACACACACACACCCCCCGCAAGGCAGTTGGGATTTTTAGTAGCATCATACCTCATAGGGGAGAGGAGAATGATGTCAGCTGCCCTTTCCCTAGGCAGAGGCTGTTGGGGGGGGGGGCTTGTAAAACTTAAGACAGAGAGGCAGATAATGGTTGGCTGCTGGTTGCCAGGAAAGGACATCGGGTTGCCAACTCCAGGTTGGAAACTTCCAGGATATTTTAGGGATGAAGCCTGCTGAGGGTGGGGTCTGAGGAGGAGGAGGAAGAGGGGGACCTCAGACAGATACAATGCCATACTGCCCACACTCCAGACAAGCTGTTGCCAGTCTCCAGGTGACAGCTGGAGAGATCTTAAAGCTTTGGTGCTACTTCAAAGTTCCCCAGGAGCCCAAAACAGAGTAGTGTTTTGGAAAATCTTGAGGAATTGTTTGGTGCATTTACGATGGGGCTCCTGGGGAACTATTGTTGCCAATCTTGGCCCAGCAGCCATCAAACCATTCTCTTCAACCCCCTGCTGTGCAGCTGACTTCCCCCTAGGGTTGCCAATCTCCAGGTGGGACCTGGAGATCTCCCACTGCTACAATTGATCTCCAGATGACAGAGATCAGTTCCCCTGGAGAAAATGGATGCTTTGGAGGGTAGACCCTATGACATTATACCTGCTGAGTCCTTCCGCCCCCCCCCGCCCAATGCTGCCCTCTACAGAATCCACCCCCAAATCTCCAGGTATTTCCCTCCTTAGAGCTGGCAACCCTACATTCCCCTCAGTGCCTGTTGGGAGTGGGTGGTGGGGGAGGGGAAGGGAGTGGGCAACCGGAGGCTTCTGCCTCCTGTCTCCGGTCCTGGAGTGGGGGGGGTGGAAACGGACCCGGCAGCCGGAGGCTTGCACCTCCAGTCGCCGGCCCTGGAGTGAGTGGGGTTGGGGGCGGGGAAACGGACCCGGCGGCCGGATGTCGGCCCTGGAGTGGGTGGGGGTGGGAGGGAAAACAGGCCCTGCGGCGGGAGGCCTCTGCCTCGCCAGCCCTGGCGGTGGGGGGGTGGTGGGAGGGGAAGGGACGACGCGGCCGGAGGCTTCTGCCTCGCTGGGCCTGGCATTGGGGGGGGTTGTTAGGGGAATTGGCATTGGGGGGCCAGGTGGGCGACGGAAGGCCGATGCCTCCATCGCCCGGCCCTCTGCAGAATCCACCCCCCAAACCTCCAGGTATTTCCCTCCTTAGAGCTGGCAACCCTACATGCCCCTCAGTGCCTGTTGGGAGTGGGTGGGGTGGGGAGGGGAAGGGAGTGGGGGACCGGAGGCTTCTGCCTCCTGTCTCCGGTCCTGGAGTGGG